GTATATATGTAATGTCAGAAATATAGTGGCTGCAATTTATTTGTAATGTTATCAAAGTTATTGTATGATCTCCAGTCAACTTAATATATAAGACTAATTTTTTGTATGTTAATGAATAGCCTATTATTCTTGTCTTATTGAACACTTTTCTTTGTTTCAGTATAATGTAAGAGGAACACCAAAGACAGCTGTTTATCTGCTTGCAGAATTGATCAGGCTTGATACACCTGTTAAGTTGTCTGATGAACACCAAGATTTTAAATGGGTACCACTAGATAAGGCATGTAAACTGGTGGAACATCAGACATTGCAAGAGGTACTCAAAGAATGCAGTACTTTTTTACAACAAAATCGTATATAAGTAAGTGGGTGCTCTTCACATTCGTTTGGTTTTGTGTTTGTCTAAAGTAAACATCTTACATGAAGGACCTGGTAATATAGCAGGAATCAACATTTGGATTTTATAAAGATGTGTGATAGTATTAGGTTGTTCAATGTGAAATGTGTATTGTGACGTGTTGCCGTGGGAGCAGTACAACAATGTCAATAAACAGTTTAGTTGTCTGTTTATTGACATTGTTGCGTTTGGCATTGTTGTATTCGTTTATAATTGTTATTTGTTTATAGACATTGTTGCGTTTGGCATTGTTGTATTCGTTTATAATTGTTATTTGTTTATAGACATTGTTGCGTTTGGCATTGTTGTATTCGTTTATAGAAATTGTTGTGTCTGGCATTGTTGTGTCTGTTTATTGACATTGTTGTGTCTGTTTATTGACATTGTATTCGTTTATAGACATTGTTGTGTCTGTTTATTTACATTGTTGTGTCTGTTTATTGACATTGTTGTATTCGTTTATAGGCATTGTTGTGCCTCTTTATTGACATTGTTGTATTTGTTTATAGCCATTGTTGTGTTTGGCATTGTATTCGTTTATAATTGTTGTGTTTGTGCTGATTCTTATTGTGTAATTTAATTTCCTATTCATTAACTTTTTAGGCTTTCTTCTATCTCTTTAATTAAACATAAATAATCGCCACTTTCAAGCTATTTTTCTTTATGAATATAAAATATGCAAATATCAATGGGGCCTTCGGAGAAAACACAGCTGATGAACACACGGTACATCAGTGGTTTAAAGAGTTCAAGTCCGGCAATACGCACCTCAAAAATTAAGAGCATGACAGGCCGGGCAGTGTGGTTGAGGATGATCATTTGAGAGCGTTAGTTAAAGAAAATCCATGTACAGTGGTTCCAGATCTTGCTACTAACCTTGGTGTAAGTGTGGGAACAGTTTCAAACTATTTGAAAGAAATTTGAAAGGTCAAAAAGCTTAATAAGTGGATCCCACATGAATTGAATGAAAACCAAAGAAAATGTCGTTATCAAGTTTGTTCATCGCTGATTTTACTCTATAAAAACGATACATTTCTTGATTGAATTGTGACGTGCAATGAAAAATGGATACTGTACGACAACCATTGACGATCGGCGCAGTGTTTTGATGCTGTTGAAGAGCCAAAACAATTTCCGAAGCCAAATTTGCACCCGAAGAAGATTATGGTGTCTGTTTGGTGGTCTGCAGCCAGAATTATTCACTACAACTTTCTGAATATATATATATATATATATATGTGTGTGTGTGTACACAGTAGATTCTGGTTACTTGGGCCATCGGTTAATCGGGGCAACCGTTTGTTTGGGATAAATCTTACAGAACAAACCTTTTTAACTCTTTAAGTGAAACTCGCAAAATTGGGGTGGCCACTTAATTGGGCCAAAGTGTTCTAGTCCCTATGTGTCCCAGTTAACCGGAGTTTAGGACTGAACCTAGGGTGTACACTAACCACTAGTGGTTATAATGGACAAGAGGACTGGTTGCTTCATTGCTTTTTAAGTTATCATGGTTTTATGGCTTTACCAATCACAGAAAGTTTAATTTCCATAAAACATGACCATAAGATGTTTACATTCTCATGTTGACATTTTTCTTGGGTGATCTGCTACTTTCCTTCAGTCCATCAACTTTGTGAATATTTGATCTGTAAACTTTAACAAAACAGTGTATGAAAATAAAAGTCACGTGTTGAGGCTAGACGAGTATGTTAGCCACAAATCACTATTAACAATTTTATTACCAAAAACGTCCCTCACAGCATCCATGGATGCGTTTTCTACGTAAGCAGCATCAGTTTTGTTGGAAGACTGTATCAGTGTTATTCATAATATTTGCCTAAAAATGGTTACGGTGCAGGACACCCTCTTCCAACATGGGGTTAGGATCCTTGAGAATAGTGTGTTAACTAAATCTGCATTAGACAGATTTAATACCTTTTAGGTTATATGGAGGGACATGATTGTAGCAACATAAAGTCTCCCATTAGACACATAGGTTTTTTACACAAATGAATGGTTTAACCTATACAGGATATGAAATAAAAACAATAAAAAATAAATACATAATGAAATTATAAACATGACATTTGCATGTGGTAAGTAAAAATAGAATAGAAGTTTTACTTCAGATTCAATGGAAACAGAACACTGACATGATGGCTGTATTAACCACCAGGGTTGGATGTGACTTAATCTAGTAGTGGTATGGTAATCCATCCATCCAATGGCTCTACAGCCCATATCAGGCCTTGGCCTCCTCTTTTTTGGGGGTTGGTGGTTTCTCAACAACTGATTTTTACAGGGTGGGTCATCGGCTACACGCCTAACCAGAACCGATGGAGCGGTTTGAGACACCTTTTATCTGGCCCCTAAGCATTGACCTGTCTGGCAAGGTTGGACCTACCAGTAGCTAAGCTACCGCCGGCATAGCTCTCCGCTTCAAATGGGGCACGCAATCTCTCCGCCACGTAAAGGCAATGTCTCAAGGGAGAGGGTATGGTAATATGTACTAAAAAATATGCAAGTTCTTAAGGTCATATTTTTGCAGAGTATAGAACATGACAGCTCCATGTGTGGGGCTTTGGCTTGCATTTTCACCCAGTATGACCAAAATATTTTTCTGAGACATGGTGTAATTATTCACTGTCAATTGAATCCTCACATTTATCACACATGAAAAGAAATTGATCCATCACTTTTTGACATTTCATATTAAGCCACCTGAATCCATTCAGCACCATTTTTCTTCTTAGTGTCATCAGTACAATGCACCACATGAAACACGAATGTTTTTTGTTGTTTTTTATACAGGTTAATGGTATAGGTTATGTTGCAGGCCCAGTTTTAAAACCTCTTGTTGTGGAAGGATTATTTCTGGTGATGCCTCATTCCACTTGAATCCTTCCTCTCCATGACAGGAGAAGGAAAGTGCGTCCCTTTTAAAAGGGAAGTGGCCAGTTTTTAGTAAAATTGCTACAAGCTGTTGTTGGTTGAATGGCATCACAATAAGCAACGCCTACTTGAGTAATACTAATTAGGTTTTGTACCAGGAACTTCACTAGTTGCTTCTCCACCCTACTTTCAGTGGTCTGTAAATGCAAACATCCAGAGACTTGTGACAGGCATATAAATGCAGGCAATGGAGTCTCAACCAGTCATTCATTCTTACATCCTCAAATATGACCATACATATAATGCTTATTCTTGATGCACTAATGCAACACAAAGCTCTCACCCTTCTTAGCAGAACTTTTCTTACAAACATGGCTTCTCCCCACATGGCTGTCAGTTTTTCCAGATTTTATGGCATTTGTGATATCAGTTTAATTGCAATTTCAGAAATGCTGGTTTTCCTTAAAAATCCAATTCTGTCAGCTTCTCCACTTTGCAAAAGAAAAACAAACATAGTTCAGTTTGTCATCTAAGCTCTTTACAGATGGCCAGATTCTATGGTGTTCTCAGTGACAAACCTTATCGTCTCTCAACTTCTCCCATGAATACCAACCAGTCATTTGACTAACAATGAAATGGATTATTTATCCCAGCAGCTCAGTGACGTGAGAGGCTACCTGTCTCACTTGACTGTCTCTTAGACCAAAACCTGAATCCTGCATCCTTAGAATTCACTTAACTACTTTAATTTCAAGATCAGGAGGCATTACAAATGGTTCTCCGATCTTTGCCAGGCTTCTACATGTGAGACCCCCGAAATGCTCCCTCTCTCTCTTTTTTTTCCGGGAGTGCTCCATGGTATCTTTAACAGCTTACAAACTCTGTGAAGTGACTTTTCTTACATTTTTAATCAGTTGCAACACTTCCTTCATACTTCCAGTCGTGTGTCATGTCTTATATGCACACCATCTCATAGGACAAAGCATCATAGCCTTTAAAAGAAGCTAAGGAAATTTTAAAGCGAAGGTTCTGAAATGAAAACCATTGACCCTGAGCTTTTAACATATTTATGAAACACCTATAACTTGCCCAGAAATGAAGGTGAGCCGACTACATTCGGCTCTGATGTTGTGACGGCGAAACTTCGAAAGGGGTTGTCATGTGTGTGGGGAGGTTAGGCCGATTTAGGAGAGAGGGGTGCTGATTTGGGGAAACCTCGCCAAAACACAGACGCTCACTCAGGCTGTAGCTACGGATCCGGTCGGCAACGTCTCTCCGGCTGGGTACCCCCTTCGAGGCGACCTTGGTTGGTATTTGTTGTGGTTGCCCGTCCAGATAAGAATTGATTTTGTTGTGTTGGTGGACGGAGCAACCACCATGTGTTTGGGTTATTTGTGGTCCCTCGGGGTGGTCAAGGTCGGAGAGGCGACTTGGAAATTTTGCCGAGAGCGAGCCGAGTCGTGGGGTTTGTTTTGTTGTTATATGTTTGTCAGTAGTAAGGCAACATATGACCCATGTAATGTGCATGTTTCATAATTTGTTTTAAGACAGTAAATGGTTTTATTTCCAATTGTACTTTGCTGTATTTTGAGTACACTCTTTTCAGGGGCGTTTGCCAAGTGAACCTACGACGTATAGAACTGAACACCTCCTCCCCCATTCGACTGTTGTTGAAAAGGGGAGAGTAGATCAAAGGTAATGTAAATAACATGAGATCTGAATTATATAAAATGTGACAGCTTTAATAAACAAGACCATTCTCCAGTCTTGCTGCACAATGGCAGGCTACTGTACTACCTTTCTGTGGGGCTTCATATGTTTGCAATAGCAAACTGCATGCAAGTAAAGTTGTCAGGGAAGAATGAAAACTGTTAATGTGTCCCTGAACGAACAGTATGTTGTGCGTCATACAGATCACGATGATTTTGCAGCTGTTGCTATTAAAATTACCAATTCTGTTTTGTTGTAACTAAACCAGCAGTAATAGCTTCTCACACAGCGCCTCAGAAATATAGGTTACAATCACATTCCAAACCTTGAGGCTTTCTCCTTTGATTTTCGGTACACTGACATGGATGAATACTTGCATACAACTTATTCCATGTAGTCATGTAAAGTAAGTGTGCAGATATGAGCTAAGAAAACTGTTTCAAGTTCCAAAACAAGAAAACTGTCCGCCTTACATACATATTCTACTTCATTTATGATTGTTCAAGAACTTCCATGTCACAACTGTGAAGGAATTCCAGTCATCTGTTTCTAAGAACTAAGTGCTGTCATTGGCAGCTCGCTTATGAACTCTAAATCTAATAATCATATATTTTAGTTCTGTCTGAAGCAAGGATGTTTTTGTGTAGAAATGGTTTGCCTACAACTAGACTTTAATTTCACTGAATCCATGGATCACTGATATTATTAAAAACATGCAATTCAGTTAGTGTTAGTTACCACATTCATTTATTTGCTCTTTTGAAAGCTTTTGGTGCGTGGTACAGAATGTTTCATTGAAGGCAAATCTTGAGAAACGTGCATAAACACAGTGGCGATTGCTCCAGTATGGCTAGTAGTGTGCCGCCAGACCACTAAAACACGAGGAATATAAAAATTTTGTTGTTAGGGGGGGAGGTAACATTTAATTTCCACACTACCTAACATAACCAGGATTTACCACTGTTAGGTGTCCTCGTATGTTTCGAACTGTGAATGACGATTTATACAAATGTATTGAGAGTTACCAGTGCAAGAAGACTGAATTCCTAAATTAGAATAATATTTTTTAAGAGAAAAAATTAACATCCATACAAGCTGCAGAGGCCCCCATGAAAGAAGGGCGTTGTAAACAAACCGGAGATTACGACTCAGACTTCACTCTTGTCACAAGCCGTGAATGTTTGCATCATTTCTTACACTCTTCGTATCCAAGGAAACCATTAAATTGTTAAATCGTTATGCTCGGTACTGGGGCAGAATGGCGTCTGTGGTGGGTGATGCATCAGAGGATTCATTTTATGACAACTTGACGCTTGGACTTGTTCGTTTGTTAGGTAAGTGATTCAGAAACTTGAGGTAACTGAAGAGAGCAGCTAATAGTTAATAGCTAATAGTTGCGCGGCTGATCAATAATCTGTATTGTCATCCTTTTGTAGAACTCCAAGGTTTGTCGCCGTGTTCAAGAGGACTCGCCAGTGTACCCTATTCTAACCCAGTCCACACTCCCACGTCGTCTTTCTTTTTTGATGCATTTTAGTATGATTCATCCACGCCTATGTCTCCCGAGTGATTTCCTTGAGGTCTTCCGACTAAAGTTTTGTACGTATCTCCGCCATGCGTGCTGTATGTCCTGCCAGCCAATCCTAATTGATGTGTCCATCATAATAATGTTTGGTGACGAGTACAAATTCTGGAAGTCGTTATCATGAAATGTTCACGATCCACAAACAATTTTAATTCGTTATTTAAAATCGCTCGTGTACACGTAATTCCTATAAAGATTAGGGAATTTGAATTATCAGTGATCATTTTTGTTTAATCATGAACTTCAGCAGTTGTGAAGATGGCTGTCTTCGAATTAACTCGAACAGCGTAGACCTAACGTAAACGTCTAAGTTCCGATGTAGCTCTGTAGTGGTTAATATTGTTTCGTGTTTGAGGTATACGTTGTTGTACTGTTCTAATGTCAGCAGTGTCACCATCTATTCGAACTGAGGGTTTTTCTTACTATGCTAGGTGATTTCTGGAATCGTATCTTGGCCTTGTAATCCTGGGGTCTCGGGTTCGATTCCTGGCGGTGCCCGAATTTATAACTTGTGTTGGGCAAGGTCGTGGTCTAGGCAACACGGAGTTTTCCTCCGGGGGCTTCCCCGGTTTCTCCGTGGCATCCCAACAATTACTCCATTCACACACAGAAGAAGGCAATGGCAAACCACTTCTGGATAATCTGCCAAGAACGTATATAAACAGGTCCCAGTCCGAGAAAAGGATGGAAGGATCCTGTTCATATGGACCTGTCGTCAGACAGAACACTAATAATAATAATAATAATCTTGATCAGCGTATTTCCAGATCATTAACTATCACCGTTAATCAGAATCTCATCTCATTTGACTCTGCATTGCCGTTGAATGACTTGAAATCAGTTGATTAATTGATATATTATTGTTTTTTCAACCATACAGGTTACATACACAGCGTTGAATAACACGATGATTGTGCAACCGACGAATCGGAAGGGATGTGGTAGGAAGTGGTCATGATATTGTAAGTTACTACATCAGAATTTGCCTGGAGAGACAGGAAAATCATGAGAAACCCTGGTCTTGACTCCATCTTTTCCTCATTTGTGAAAGGAAACAGACTTTAAAATTCTGAATACTACGCCACGATCGCTTCTTTGCACATTATTTCCAATTCATTATTCACAATCATCTTCTCATTCGAGTTAAATAAACTATAAATAAATAAATAAATAAATAATAGGAGCTTCACGTGTCTCACACTTGTTTGTATCAAAATTGCCGTTTATCCTTTTATTGTTGCCTTATACACGTTCTCTTATCTGAGACCGACAACAATTAAGAAGGAATTGAGAAAGTTTTCGGTAAAAGCCTGTGAAGAGTGCCTTTTAAATTTCTACCTTAAAATGCTGTTAGTCCGTATATTGTATACTGTTCGGTCACATCACACCGTCTCTTAATGTTTCTTAGCAATTGGCAATTGTTGGGGGCTTGTATTAATCTTCAACAATGACATACATCTCAGTGGAGGCGTGATGTATGTTCATGTTAAGCGGTTTAGACCTATTTTTCTTGAGATGATTGGTGCCTTTAATTTAAGTACCATATAATTGTTATTGAGCGAGCAAGACAAGTCAGTCGCTTTGAGTTGTGAATGTCGCAATATTGTGTATTTTGTTTAATGCGATGTCCCGTGTTAAACGGGATCGTATATTTAGGAAGGACATTTCAACACTTTTTTATTGTACTGAGTATAATGACGACTGTTACTGCTGTATCTACCGAAATAAACTTTTCGAGGCTAAAACTGATAAAGATCTACCGTCGAGCAATGATTATACAGGATTGATTGACGGGTTTGGTCATTCTTTAAATGAAAAATGATGTCGCTTCAGCACTCGGCTATTCAGAAATCTTGGACTCATTCGGTTACAGAAATAACAGAGAAAAATATTTTTAGGACGTGTAAAAATTTATACTTATTTGTAGTTTGCCAGACAGTGGGTACAAAGCTTTCCAAAGAAGTTATATTTAAATTTTTATAAAAACAATGTTTCTATTTTTACTGCTTTATGGAAACTGGCTCTGTGTGGTGCAGAAAGCACGCCAGGGATACGGGAAGTTGAACTGGAGAAACGTCTGCCGTGTGAGAGAATGCTTCTAACAGCGTGGGAACAACGTCACTGCTGTACTCTGCCGGAAGACATGCGCCATTTCTATTTGTCAACCGATGGCTTCAAACTTATTTGGAATTATGAATATGCAGGTTAGTACAGGACACAGGTAATACAAATGTGCTTGGCTCTGTTGCGACACAACAATTTTGATCTCTGCAGAGCGCCTGTTAAAATAGCTCCGTCTGTCCGTACGCATGAAACAATCCAAGAGCTTATAAACCAAGTTTTTTGAAATTTTATTAAAAATTCTGTAGTCATTTCAGCTTGCCTTTAGTTCGGACAGTTTTTGACCACCGTGCGTAAGAGTATAAATACAGAAGTATATCACAATAGGTCGTTTACAATTCGTTTCAAACATTCAGGTTTTATAAAAGCAGGGCATTTCAAGATGGACAAACTCTGAAACACTCTGTACCTTGGAGTTGATTAACTACCTGCAGTAGGACACTGTTATTTTAATGTTTTATCAATTCCGTTGTTAGTGTTTTCTAATGTTCTCGAACATTCCATGTTCAGAACTTCCTTCCACCTCAAACAATTAAGTTGGCAGGGCCTAATTTTCCATTATTTTGACTTATGTTAAATCATTTGAGGTAGGCCTAGTTATCATTTAGTGATACGTTTAACATTGAAATAATACAACAAAGGACAAATATATGCGATGCTACTTTTGTGACTGGAGGGTGTCAGAATTAGTAATATTATAGAATAACTACAATCTTTATGACCGGAAGTTTGTGAACCAAAGGACAGTTTACGAGTGGGTGGAAAGGCGGACGAGTATGAACGATTGTCGGGTTTGGCGAGCATCCATAGTAATGTGTTCAAATGAAAAAAGATTGAACGGAAAACTGGGACAACCTAAGAATTGGTACTATAAAATTGGTTGGCAATTTTCTGGTGAGGAAGTGACATAAGTTGTGCAAGAATGATATAAGGTCCAGCACAACCGAAGAAGGTCGTCTTCTGGGTTGTTTCTCTGTGTAGTCTGGTAGACGTCATCGCCCTGATGATGGAGGCAGCAAGGACCTCTGAAACTTTGGTGAATTGTGGTCAAGATCTTTGTGAACATGATCTTTCTGTAGCATCACCAAAATACAGTGATGATCAATGTAAAATCTCTTTTTTTATGACATTTCATCTGTGAAGTTAGGTCTCTGAAACGTGGACGTGATAATGAAGGGCTTACCAGGTCATTCTATGTCGACGATAAGTCCCTTCTACTGAGAATGAGGATATGTGCATTGAAGGAGGTGGAAGGATGAATGTAAAGATTTGTGTTTACCCTACTATCATGTTGTTTTCTGGGGAGAATGAGGAAGGTCAGAAGAGTCCTTTGACAGGATAGCTGTTAATCCTGTCAAGATTTGAATCAAATACCTTCTGAATACTGTTCACAGTTGTTATACATATATTAATCAATTATCAATTCCGTGATTAATGTGATAGTGCTTGTTGCTTGTTTTTATTATTTTTATAGTTTTAGTTTTAAGTGCAGAACTATGGAACTGAGCTCATTTATAAGATTGTAGGTGAAAGATTAGTTAAGAATGAAATGTCACGGCTTTCTTGATAATACTGTACTAGTGACGTTTTGGAGTGTCTGAATACAAGAATGAAATATGGCAGTCATTTATTCATTGCCATCTTTGTGATTTAATATTAGAAATTTTCTAGCTGAATCAGACAGCTACACATTTAGAAGTTGGAAGCCCTTGTTCGCACGTTCTGATATGTATTTCAGGTGAAGTGCTACCTGTAGGCCATATGAAGATCAACTCAGTGTCTGAGTTGCGTCGCCTGGCTGGAGTAAAGAATACAGGGGATGCTGATTATCCCACTTTGTTGGATATAGAAGTATGTAGCCAGCAAGATGTCTCTAACCCAGCCAGACAGAGGCCCAGTTTTGGTGTGAAATGCAAGATTTTTGAAATTGACTCTTGCCAGGGAATTGGAAAGGTAATTTATTACTACAGGGTATAAAATTGAACAAATAATAGTTTGTAATCCCAGCCAACAGCCATGATTAAAAACTTCTGTAAGAGAAAGTATGTAGATAAAGAAGTGGGATGAGTTAAAATTATTGCCACATGCGGTAATTAACCTTGGTTTCATATACAGGAAAACTTGTATCCTGTACTGAAGTCTACTCAGATGTTCAGCTTTGTCAGTATGGTGTTCATTTCCAGCTCTCGAAGACTGTCTCTGCCTCACAGCTTGAATAATTTGCCCTAGATTACTTAACTGATATCAGTTGCTATGAAAGCTTCATAAAAATAGGGGTTATGTTTCAAAGTGAATGTTTTAAAATTATAAACTTGATGAGAAAACCACTTTATTTGGATATTTAAAAGTGAAATAACATCATAACAAAGAGAACAAATTTAATCACTTATAAATATGGCATTAGTCACCATAGGTTAGTGGTTGGCATTTTGCCACTGGACCCAAGGTTCGTGGGTTCACTCCTGGCCGAGGTCGATGGATTCTTAAGGGTGATAAAAATCCGTATCACAACTTCCTTTGGAGGTGAAGTAAAGCTGGCAGTCCCATGTCGTAGATTTACAGGATGTAAAAGAAAGAACCTTATGACCATATGAGATGTTTTGTAAGCAAAATTCAGAGGCCATTTCTCACCCAAGTCTCCTGATTAGCTGCTAGATAGCTCTGGCAGTCAAATCAGGATTGAGTAGAAATTGTGCAGCATCAGTGGGCTGGTCACTCACTACTCATAAATGCATACTACAAAGACTAGGAATCCTCCGAAAAGGAGGCGGCGAAAACCCACAACCGGGTTGTAGAGCCAAGAAACAGCAACAACAATAAATATGACATTAAATAGTGACTATATTTTAAGATGTATTTATTTAGTCAATTTGTTCAAGCTGTGCTATAGTTCAGGCAGCTAGAGACCTGGCTTAAATCTCATGTGACTTCAGTTGAGATTTCTCAATACTCATCTATCGCTGCCCCATGAGGTGAGACAGCCCTGACCAAGCAGCATATTATCATGCCCTAGGTCCTTAGCTAAGGACTTCATCTCTGATCCAGCAGTTGGCTGATTTTGGTGTGAAAAGATTGGATGTGTAACATGTGAAATTTCTCAGGTCACTTGTGAGTGCCACAGGAAGAGACTATTTTCTCAACAAAGTATAGGCAGCAATTGGGATAAACCAATATTTAAGGGAGGTTGAGAAATACATATTACAATTTAGAAACCGTTTGGAAAGGCTGGAAGACACTACATAACGAAAGGGCATTTGATATGAATCCATAAATGTAAAGGAAATAGGAAAAACAGACAATAGAAAATCTGACCAGTTTTGAGTATAGGAATTTTGGCCCCAAGTGATCATATTTTTGAAAAATAATAGATGAAGAAGAATCTTGTGTTAATAAATGAAATGAATAATTATAACTTGAACTTCATTGTAAATGACCATATTTAGAAATGAATTAAATAAATGGCTAAGGGACTTTTACTTTCTTAAATTGACAATAATCTGTCAACATGGAGTAAAGACGGAGGAGACAAAACTACCATGACACAAATGTAAGAACATATAAGAAAATTGCTTTGCAGGTATGTCTTGTGTATGCAGATAAAAGTGACTGTGAATCTGACCTGAAGAGAGAGGATCCCAAGATATGGCTTTTGGATAGAAGTTTTCAGTGGCACTTCCTGGCGGAGGGCTTCACTCAGTACTTTCGCATGTTGCTGATCCACCAGGGACTTCCACAATGGCAATTTAAATTCACACCCATGGGACTCACACCATGGGCTGAGGTACGTTTCCTCGTATGCTTTCCAATGTAAAGAAGCAAGGAACAGTGTCATATGGATTATTGGCATGTATCATGTAAATATTGTGCATTTCAAGTCATTATACAGGAAAATTTTATGTGTTAAGAGGTACAAATATTGCTTATTCTACAAAGATAGTTTACATAGTTTGCTTAGTGATGTAGTTCATCATATCACCATTAAAGAGTTACTAAATTCTAAATACCATGCACTTGGTGGTTTGGCATGGAATGACACTATTTATATTATTATATGTGGAAGGCATAACATAATAATAATAACCAGATATGGAATCCTATCACACTTAATGTTTTAGTTTTTAGACGTAGACATGACAATATATGATTCACATTATTTTATGTGTGCTGGGGACCAAATACTGTTGAATATAATGGTTGAATTAGATAAGTAAAAATACTACACCTGCAGACGTGACTTGCCAAACTGTGCCACACAGAATTACTGCCTCCTTCTGAGGTGTAGCGTACACACAGATACTTGGATAATGAGATTATGTTCTGTTTTAGCAAATGTTCGTGCTTATTGCACCTCACCTACTGCAGAGTAGCCTTATGACACAAAGCATGGACTGGAGTGACATGCCATGTAACCACCTTGATCCTGCCATCTTCAAAACAAGAGGAAAGAGCTCCAAAAAGAAAGTGGATACAGCAAAGAGCAGACCATCTTGAACATGAAAAAGTAACTATGTAACGGCCAAATATCTTTGCAAGACCTTCCTCTGAAAACATATGTTTGTGAATTAAAAAAGTACTGTAAAGTAATTTTTCCTTGCCTTACATCATTTATAAATGGAGTTGCCTGGTTGTGAGAATGGATAAACACATATTCACTTGATATTACAATTTTACTAAAATTTGTCAGCACATTCCAGTTTCATTCAAAACTACACAACAGTAACAGATCATCATCTATGGTGCTTCGGCCAGATTTTGGGCCATGACTTTCCCCCTTTCTCGGAGGTTTCTTGGTCTTTGAAGTGTGCTTTTGTGAGTAGTGAGTGACCAGCCCACTGACTCTGCATGATATATACTCAATCATGATTTGACTGCCAGAGCCATCTAGCAGTGAATCAGGAGACTTGGGTGAGAAATGACCACTGAATTTTGCTTAAGAAACATCTAGTTCATGCTTATAATGTTCTTTTACATGCTGTAAATCTACGACATGGGACCGCCGGCTTTGCTTCCCTTCCGAAGGAAGTTGTGCTATGGATTTTTATCACCCTTAAATGGCTGCCTTTTGGTTACAGAATTAACAAGGCCATAGTGGCACTGGCCTAACAAAGGAAAAAGACTGCACTGACACATGTTTTCTCATCATAGAAGGGTTGTACACACTGTTCAGTTTCACAGTGTGTGAAGATGGATTATGTGTGTATCAATCAGTGCTTTAAGGATTACCATACAAAACTGAATGTATAAATACTTCACAGCCTGATAGATGTTTCCCACTGGTGTACAAATTCATAAAATCTTTATACCTGTCACATGAATAATAACAAGATATTTTAATTCCATAAATATGTAACACTTTCTTGAATAGTCATATGGCTTTCAGAAACAAAACAAAACAAAAAATTCTTAGGCTGATCTTTGGGTGTGTGGTGGTGGTGGTGTTCTTGTTTTTTCTTCCCCCCCCCCCCCCCGCCCCCATGAAAAGTGTTCTTATTTCACAGTTCTAGAGTCTGGTTTAAAAGATACATTCAATTTTTCATAAGGATTGTAGGAACAGTCTGTTGGGCATTGTCCATTGTCTGAGGTATATTTGAAAAACATGTCATTTCATCTTCAGGTGATGGTCATGGTACTGAAACTTTTTTATTTTATTAGTGACAATGATTGGAATTGTATCCAAGACCTTTAGAATGTTTGGTTAGTATGCTAACCATAAGTTCACAGGAGCAGCATTCTTTTATTTAAATGGCTAGAATTAAATCCAGTCAGTGGTTTTTAAATAGTGTACTGTAAAGGTTAAATGTCCCTCCTCAGTTGCAGTATAATGTAGCTTGGGGACCTAGCATGCCTAACTCAGGCTCTGAATTATCATTCTTTCACAGCTCTGTTAGTAGGGCTGTCACCTTAAAGACTTCAGTCATATCTTGGACACACTTCATGTGGCCCCTCGGTTTTGATTTGTCCAACAATATTAGTCCTACTAACAACCAGGGTTTGATCCTGAGCAGGAGCAATGGATATTTTAACTAGCCTCATCATCCAGACTGGCTCTGGGGCCCACCCATCCTCGTATTTCATGAGTGCTGGGGTCTTTTCTCCAGGGGTAAAGGTACGGCTGAGGCGTGATACTGACCACTCACTCCCAGTTTAGTGTTGGGATCAAGAAAGGGTACGAGCTATACCTCCTCTCCTCACAGGTGCCTGTATGCCATGTAACAGGACAAACAGCTTTACTTTATTAGACCCGCTAGCAGCTATGTAATGGCTGGCTTAGCACACAGTTTCATCAAGATACATGAACTCATCTACTATGTGCCTAATCCATAGAGATAAAAAAGAATAAGAAGAAAATTACCTAGTCCAGTGACATCTAAAGCCTTGCAGTAGGTGCTGTTCATGTTGTTAGTTTTGTAGTTGGATTTAGGAAGTCAGTATGTGACAGATATAAACTAAAATTTTGTTTGTGACATGTATGTATAATGTGTTTGATTCATTTACTTTATCTGAAGAATTTATCATTGTGATGAATAATCAAAGAGATAATTCAATCCTGAGTTTCATACTTAAAAGACATTAATGTGAGTGCCATTTATGGTATGTTAATTTTATAATTTTGCTTTCATATTGATAACTTAGCATACATAACAAATGTGTATATGTTAATTGTAAAAATAAATGTTACATATCATACTCACTGCCTAGTCTAAAGTGACCTTGATTATCAACATATATCTGGAATGTTCTTTGTGGACAGAGTTCTTATGATGGACCAATGTCTCATCCAAGAAGTCCTTCACAATGGGAATACAAACCTCTACACTGTTAATGGTAGAAGAGGATAGACTGAGGAAAAATGCATGATGATTTATTAGATAGATGTTTATTTATTTGTTCATTGACTCTTGAAAATGGCGGCAGAAGTAGGGTGGAACAAGTGGAGTAGCTACATTGTGTGGAGTGTATCAGCCACACTCGGGATATGTCCTAAAGATGTAAAGGGGTATATCTTTATTTTGTCATTTTTGAACTGATTATGAAATGTGAATGAAGTGGTGATACATACTCTGTGTGGTTATTACTTGGCTGTCAAATTAAATTTGCTGTCAGTTTTCTTGTTTCTACTCACATAGGACATGGGGATATCTGAACTAGCTCTATTTGTATAGATTGCCACTTCTGCCTGTTTCAACTGTCTATAATGTAAAGTTTACATATCATCAGGCAATGAAACTGAAGAACAGGCCTTTCGGTATGTTCTTGTATTGATGAATGTCATGCATGAACTTACAGCTGCATTGAAAGTTTCACGGAAACATGTCACAATTCTATCACATGATCCAGGCCAGTTCTCCTGTACCACGTGTCTGGGTATGACCTTACATACAACTACAACAAACAGTAGTACCAGAACAGATATAGTTATTAACGCTGTTAATGTTGACAGATGTGATATGCTGTGATAGGTTGCATCACATGAAAGTCTACTCACAAAGTCCCAGGAGCATACATCCAGCTCATCACAAGAGGCAATATGTGTTGTTGCATACCGTTCAAAGCACCATTTCCATATGTCTTGCAATTTGCAGTCACAAGATAAGGGGTTGCCTGAAATACTTAGCCATGTCAACTTGTCATGGTCACGTACTAAACTTCTAGTTACACTTCTCAACTTATTATTGGAAATATCTAATATTTCTAGTTCTTTCAGGCTGTAAAGTAAATTGACTTGCTTTCCAGAAATAGTGTAACTCTTCAGTGGCTGTTTGTTTGAATGATTCTCTAATGTCTCCAGATAATTATTATTCAATTTGAGTTTTTGTAGCATGGTTAAATTTTGAAAAGCAACCACAGGAAGGTGTTTAATGTTACAAAACCCTAGGAATAGGGCACTTAAGTTTGGCGCTGTAAGAATAGGACTATTATTTTGAAATGTTAAATTATTATGCGAGAGGTCCATGATTCTCAGATTAGTATTGTTAAGAAACATATGAGATTCCAAAGAACTTACACTGTTATAACTGATATTAAAATGGTAAAGTTTGTTATTGTTACGGAACATATTACTATCAAGATGTGTGATTTTGTTTTCACTAAGATCCAGTTTCTGTAACATGAGAATACTCTTGAATATATTTGGGTTAAGGGATCTTATCTCATTGTTATTGAGGTATAATTCCTGCAGATGTAAATTCTTCGTGAAGGTATCAGGATGGAGTGAACTGATTTTATTATTGCTTAAATCCAAATACCTCAAATCGGTGTTCATCAGTGTGTCTGAATGTAGATAGGTGAGTTTGTTGTGGCTGAAATTGAGCGTCCTCAGCTTGTTGTTATTAATGAACGTGGTAGGATGTAGGGAATTTATTGCATTACTCCCAACAAGGAGGTTCCCAATGCGCGTTGTATTTTTGAAAGTATTAGGATGAAGGTATGTGATTCTGTTTCTGCTTATATCAATAGTCAGCAAATAATTGTTATTACTGAATGTATCTGGATGAAGATATGCAAGTCTATTTTGACTGAGGTCCAATGCCCGGATGCCATTATTTCCATCGAATGTACTTGCTTGTAAGTAACTAATGTTATTGTTACTAAGGTACAGGTTTGTTAGTCTGGAATTGTTTTTGAATGTGCTAGGGAGAATTTCATTGATGATGTTGTTATCTATATAGACAGATCGAAGTGCAGTAATATTGCTGAATGTATCAGGTTGGAGGAAAGTGATCCTATTGTTGGAGAGATGCAAAGAATTGAGTTTGGAGTTGTATCTGAATGTATCTGGGTGAACAGAGCTTATTGAGTTGTTATTCATGGTTAGGTAGAGTAAATTTGTATTGTTTGTAAATGTGTCAGGATGGATGGAGTCAATCTCATTGTTACTTAGAAAGAGGTACTTAAGGTTGGGGTTATTTTTGAAAGTGCTGTGATGAACAGACCTAATTCTGTTGTCGTTCATGTGCAGGTTCTCCAGCTTGCTGGTCATTATGAATGTGTTAGCATTAAGTGAGGTGAGTCTGTTGTTGGTGATATCTACAGTCTTCAGATATTTGTTGGTTTCAAATGTGTTGGAAGGCAAAGAGGAGAGAATGTTGTAACTCAGAAATAAATTGCTGAGATTGGTGTACCTGAATGTGTCTTGATGGAGTTCGCTGATCATGTTATGACTGATATACAGGTATGAGACTTTCAAATTGTTCTTAAATATCTCATGATGAATCTGTGAAAATGCATTCTTACTCAAGTCAAGCTTCCAGAGATTTCTGTTATTCTTGAAAGTTTTTTCACTAAGAATTGATATTCTGTTGTTACTAATATTGAGGTACAATAATTCAAAATTACTGGCAAAAGTGTTGTAGTTAATTTCACTGAGGAGGTTGCTACTTATGTTAATGCTGATAAGTTCTGTGTTATACTTGAATGTATCAGGGTGAATTGATTTCACCCAGTTGTTCCCTATGTTGAAATATTTGAGTTTCTTGGTATTCATCAATGTGTTAATGTGAATATGACCGATGGAGTTTTCGCCAACATCCAACCGAACAAGGCTGAATGTCTCCCTGAAAGTATTAGGATGAAGGTCAGTTAGTTTGTTATTCTGCAACCTGAGTTCATTCAATTTATGGAGACCTTGGAATGCTTCCTCTTCTATTGTCATCAGTCCATTACTGCTGAGATCGATACGATTCAGTTCTCCCAACCTCATCTTTAAGAACTCGTTGTTTCTAACTGCAGTGATATTGTTGTAAGAAACAATTAGAATTGTGATGCTGTGTTCGAGACCGAGAGGAATACCAGTCAATGAAGCATTGGAACAGTTGGTGCCATTTACATACTGCCCCCTGGAACTGTTCCATGTGAAGACGTCACATCTGCAGACTGATGGACATGCAGCCAGTGGACTAGCTGTTGCCAGAAGGGTGGCAGTTACCAGTGGCCACAGCCTTGTAGTCGGCATCAGAACCTGGACATGAATTATAAAAGGGTACAGTACTAACATATTTTAATGAATGTGTGCACACCCCCACACACATACACAAACAAAAACAAAAAATGCAGACTCCTGCCTGCCTCAGTTGAACAGGAATTCACAAGTCATTTATATTCGTGAGTTTCAAGGCCCTTTCTTTGAAAAGCGGTGAAACTGTCTGTGGTAAACAAAACAAAACACAAATAGCCTGCTAACTAACTGCATGAAGTAAAATCCTTCTTGAGAGCTAAGAGTTGTTCAGTTAGTCAACAAATTTCAAGCATTTTATGGAACCTGAAGGTTCCTTGGTGTTTGTAAGAGCCCATGACTGGTCATCGTCTTGAACCAGATGAATCCAGCCCATGTTACATCCTATTTCTTTAAGATGCATATTAATATTATCTCCCATCTATGCCTAAATCTTCCATGTGGTCTCTTCCGTTTTAGTTTTCTGACTTAAATTTGGTATCCATTTGTAATAATTGCATTAAAATAAATATATATTAATAAACCTATCAGAACAGCTTCAAATGTATTAATACATTGAAATTTACATATTTTGCCTATCTGCAACACACTGTGTACATCTTTGTACATTACATACCGGTAAGTATGAAAGAACTCAGAAAAAAATTACCAGAAATGATGACCATTTCATACGTTATTACAAACACACACTCTCTCTCACTCACTCACTCTCTTACTCCCCCCTCTCTCTCCAACCCCCAACCCCCCACACACACACACACAAACACACACTCAATCCAGACTTCAGTGTCATAATGGCCACACCAGATTTTATGAAAATCGGAACAGCTGGCCTCGATTTATTTTTTGCATACTGACAACACGGATGATGACGTTCGTCGTCACGGAGGATCGTGGGTAATGATATCTTGAGTATCATCCTTCCATATCAATTTTGAGCATCCGTCACATTGCTGGTACCCAGTGCGGGGAATTTAAAAAACACGAGTTTGGAGCTTCCTCCGTACCAAATTTTATTAAAATCCGGTATTTAGTGTGATCAGCTTCGAAATAGTACACTTTCGACTAAAATACCGAGTTACGTTTGTCTCTGCGATGAATTAACATGACCAGAATCCCGATTCTACGCATTCCTCTTTGAGATGAGCTTTCCATCGTTGCTTGTGAGTGAATCAGGTCCTACACGTCTTGTAGCATGTTAATATAACCAGAATTCGAGTTGTACAATTCATCTTGACGAATATGGACACAATATGCATATACACATGTTAACCTGTTCGGCGCAGCTATATTACCTGGCCTATAAAAATCTTTACAGCTTCTGATGTGGACAGCGAAATGCGACGTGAACAATCCAACAGTTTGCGGGCGACTGGAGCGGTGAGTCAGCAATCAAAGTCACTCGAAGCAAAGCTTTAACACGTTAATGACGGCCATTATCAAATCTGCCTCCAATTGAAGCCAGTATTCGCATATTTCATCTTCACGCATCTGTTCAGAGTTGCATAAACCTAACATTTATTCTTCCTTTGCTTCTTCAAGTAAAAGCACTTTGTATGTATTGTGTATAATTCGTGTTAGCATTAATTTCCTTCAGAATATCAAATAAATACCCCAATCTCTTTCATCTCCGTTTGTATATTCCCCAGAAAATCTCCCATTAGCAAACCATACTAGACGTCTTCTTCAAATAAGACTTGAAGCTTACACGGCGATTGAATTTAACAAGGCTTCAGGCAACAAGCCGTGTCGGTTGTTGACAAAAACGCAAAGATTCAGAGACCATCTCCTTCGTAAAGTTTTCAATGAGCTTTTGTCTTGACAAACATTTGCATTTCCTAATTTTTGTTTGCAAAACTGATCAGGTTTTTTCTTTCGGAGTGGAGTTAGTGGAGGCATTTCCAGCGAATCACGAGCATTATATAAAAGCCATACTCTTGTTATACGGGCTGCGTATTTGGGGTCATTATCTTGTTGAAGCAAATATGGATCTTGGATCCCTAATTTACGAACACGCTTCTTTAAATTACCCCCCGCAATTTGTTCACATATCCTTTTGAGTTCATAATCCCTTCAACAATTGCAAGTTCTCCCACCTGCGTAGCTCATTTAGTCCTAAACCGTTGCATGACCACCTCCATGTTTGACTGTTGGTATAATATTATTTTGATCCATTTCTCTTTTGTCTTTTCCAAACGAACTGAGGACCATCGGAGCCAAATATGTTGAACTTACTCATCAGAGAATAAAACTGTTTTGCAGAAGTCGCTAGGCTTGGTCACATAAGCGCTTTTCCTTTGTAACCACCTTAATGGAGGTGATTTCTAATGGTCTGAAGGCTGACATGTTTACCTCTTGTAGCGAGGTCTTCTGCCAGTTTTCGAGCACTTGTTTTGGGGTTTCTAGACATCTGTTGAACAAGAGTCTGAAGATCTCTTGTAGACAGCACTCTGAATCGGCCCAATCGCTTTTTTGATCGAATTGGTTGACTTAAAATTTTTAATTACGCATTGGACTGTAGCAAATGATAAATTAAGGAGGGTTCCAATTTTCCGGTAAATTAAACCGTGTTTAAATAACAAATCCATCCGATCGTTGCAAACAAGAGAGTTTGCTTTTGCCATCAATATTAACAGCCAATATGCTTGCAACTATTGTCTGCGAGCCACGAGAGTAGACCTGTCATCTTTGAGGGAGGTGGGGTAGAATTCTGTGCTACTAGCGGACCGAAAAACACCCACTTTCCCCCCTTCCACACAAGCAACGGCTGACAAGGCCATGTCTAGGCAAGGAATCAAAGGCAAATGTTTGATATGTTTAGGTGTTAGTATTTACTAGCATTCAGGTAGGAAAGCGTAGAGTTTGTAAACATAATCTAGTACATGAAAACTTTTTTTACGTTGAACTTAGGATATTTTTCTGTTCACTGCAAACTGTGTCTTGTTTAACATTTTTGAACTACTACTACTACTACTTCTTCTACTTCTACTGCTTCTTCTTCTTGTGCATGGCCTCCTCAGTTCTCCTCTTCCATTCTGTCCGAGGCTTTGATTGAGGTTTCGAAACATCTTCCTTTTTACGGTGCAAAGTTGTTAGCCATGCGACCAACCCCCAACCTGGAGCACCAGGGTACCTGTCTTATGCTATGTCTACACTCGTGCGCTTTCGTTTTCAACTTTCAATTCAACTTACGCTTCAACATTCAATTCAACTTTCGTTTAGGGCATGCCTTTGTTGAATGTGTCAAAGGCATGCCCCTAGCTGTCCACACTATGCTGCCATTTGTCAGGCAATTCTTCTGAACAGGAGAGAGGAACATGGCAGACGCAACTTTACTTACTGGCATAAGTGCAGCATATTTAGTTATCGCAGGAAAAAGAAAATAGCAACGGCGGCGACACATATGGATGAAGGATTATTTAAAGAAACGGAATTTTGGAATTCTGAAGGATTTGGAAGTCGATGAAGAGGTTCTATTTAGAAACTTTACACGAAGGTCCAGAGCAAACTTCAACACACTTTTGGATATAGTCGCACTGAAAATCGCAAAAAGGAACACTCACTTCAGAGAAGCGATACCTGTTTCGATCAAGTTAGCTATAACGCTGAGATTTTTAGCTACCGGTGATTTTTCTTTTAAACACTTTTTGGCGTTCCTTAGAAAAGTATGAACGCAAACATTTTATTTTGTTTTTCACACTCTTCACGTCGATGTTTAACTTGCTGCTCATCTCAGTCAAAGCATCGCTACGTTTTGTTTTATTAGTGTAGTCTCGATGGTTGTGGTCCCATAACAGTTGAAACGACCTGTAAATGTCGATAAACAACAAAGTTTCTTCTTCCGAAGACGCCATCTTGAGAAGCGAGACGCACGGTGTATTGAACCAAAACCCACTCAGGCTGGGAACACGTGCAATGAGGCATGCGCTGCTAAAACTGCTGCCGTTCAACTCTCTTCAGGCATGCGTAGACGCATGCGTTACGTGCGCTATTGCTTGCGCTATAACGCATGCCATTGACGAACGTAAAAGCGCACGAGTGTAGACATAGCTTTAGTCTGACCTCTTCCCCTCATAAAATTAAAGTAGGAAGTTCCGACTGAGGTATTGGTCAGTTTAGGTACATTGACTGACGGCGTCTCACTGAAATGTCACAGCGGAAATATTTTTATAACTTTGTCTGGATACAGGTGTATTTTGTTGGTGGTGGTATATTTGCATCTTACTGTTGGTACTGACCAGGTTATTTGCGTTGTTGAGTAAATAGTGAAATTAAATGTTCGTTATTGTCTAAAAAGGGAGTACGGTAATACGTAATTGGTTGTTTACTTGGTTTATGTTTCCTCATTGCCCCTAATTGAACTGCTTGTTCTGTCAAGCTTCGGGTATTTTTCCTGATCTGTTCTTTGGAAAGTGGTGGAGGCGTCATTTAAGGCTGTTATCTATACGCACATATGACGTAAGTCAGGAGACTTGTTACTGAAACAACCTTTACAATAATTGTTTGAATTTATAGTTTTAAGTGTATAATACAGTTCATACACCGTATAAGGTAATTATTGAAGATGGTTTACCCTTTCTTTATTGTGATTTTAGGTTAGTCTGATTTGCTCGCTGAATCCGAAGGATTTTTAACCCCCTCTCCAACACCCACAGCAAGAGTGCTGAAAGAAGTAAACAGAAAAGGAGAGGTTGTGTGTGGTTCAAGAACAAGAAGCTTGGAAATTAAAATGGAAGAACTTCTTTGTAACAAACCAGACATTGAAAGGTAATTTTTTTACAAATATTGGCAGTAATACCAAATAGTCAGTTTCATATATACTGCAGCACTTTTCTTTGTGATATTTATTATGTAAGTGAATGTATTGTAATTAGGATTTTAGGTTTTCATGGCAGTGAGTGTGAAGATTAGTCTTCTGGGTACATGGTGCAACAACCCAGAAGACAGTAATCTTTGTATTTGCTACCCAATTATTTCATAATTTGAAAACATTTGGAATTCTTAGTGTTGGACCAGAACTGATAAAGGTTATCTGAAGAAGATAAGCTTTCAGTTAGTAAAATTACAATGCTGATATCTGCAATAGAATCCAGTATTGAAGTGTGTGTCAGTGGAACTCCAGGAAATACAGTTTGTGAGTTATTATATTTTCTGTATGGTTAGCTTCGGAAGTTTCTTAATAGAACTGCTAAGTTTATTGACTTCATGGTAACAGTGGAGTATTGATATAGTACTAATTTTAATAAAGTTACAGTTCTTCTGTTTCTGTCTGGAGTTCTTATTACAGCAGTGATTGTTAATCTTTGAGGTGTGAATGACACTGTTCCAACAATATATTGAAAACTAGTTGAGGCATTTTCCTTCCAGATTTTCCCATTCTGCTTAATACAGGATTAAATTGTAGGATTTGAGGTTTTCACAGTGGTGAGTCTGAAGATGGCTGTCTTCTGGGTTGTTGCAACGTTTAATCTGGTAGAAGTTTACTGACGTTTCAGATGTCCTTGCTGCCTCCATCATCAGGGTGATACTGGAGGCAGCAGGAACCTCTGAAACATCAGTAAACTTCTACCAGACTACATGGCTCAACAACCCAGAAGATAGCCATCTTCTACAAGATTAAAGCTGACAATTGTAACAGGTGATGGGGGTCCATGTTATTTGCTAAGAGGCAGGCTTATAGAAGGTGTCCCAAAAAGTTGTATACACAGCAGCAACTTTGGTGGCCATTTGTCAGTCAGTTGCTCATTGTTGTCAGCTGTGCCACAAAGCTATGGTCATTTTGAACACCTATGCTAGATTTGCTAATTCAGTACGTGCCATTATTTAAGTATGTAATGATTTAGTTTGTTAAAATTTCTTTATTTCATTCACTGAATGTGTTATACATCTTTTTGGGAAACTTTAATATACCATAAGGTAAACAGCTTTCAGATTTATTCTTTAACCCTTTGAAACCAAAGCTCAACTAAATAATATTTAAAGGTTCACTTTCTGCTGCAAAGAAAGCACAACAATTATTCATTACAAAGATTGGTTGGTTATTGCCATTTAGGGAAATAAAACAGTTTACAGTGTGAATCATACAAAACCCACTTATACACTGTGGTCAAAATGCAGAGTTATGTATTGTTGAAGTAGGTGGTACATAGTTACCACTGGGCTTTAAAGGGAACAAATAACATGTATTTGTTCATACCATGAAGACTGAGTGAGATCATGGTACCAGTAAAAAAATGCACACCAAGTGGTTTCTTTGTTTGCTTAATTCTTATTACATTTACTTGGGCATTATAAGCCTTTGGTGAGATACTTAGCTTGATAGGAGCATCTTTGACAGTATAGATATACAGCAAGTGCTATAGGGAAGAGTGATGGTGGTTGTCAGCTGCAGGAGCAGTGGTGGCAGTTGTTGCGTAAGAAGTATTTCGCCATGAGTGTTGAATATAATTTTAGAGTGTGGCGTACAGAAATTAAGTTGGCATTGAATGATAGATGATACCATGAATGATTATGACTTGCCCATGTTACACGTCCTTTATTAATGGTCTTATTGTTTCAGATGGAAGAGGAAAGAAAAATTCTTTCAGCAGTAACTTGATGATGAAGCAACCATTTTTGTAGAAGAGGACATCTAAGAAGCAGAGTAACAGATGACAAATATTAGACTTTGTTTGAATGAAGGAACAGTGATCTCTTCGTATACAAAGAACTGAAAAGGAAAGAACATCTGATATGTGAGGTGAATTTATTGTGCCTTTCAGTTTACACAAAAATCCCAGAATGACTTCTTTTCAAACACCATCTTCCTCATATGCCGGTTCACAGGAGAATGAAAAAGACATTATAATAATAGATGAAATAAAGAATCAGAACTTATCTGTTGATGGAATACAAAGAGGAAACATTTCAGTGTTTCAGGATGGAGAATCAACTGTGGATAATACCATAAAGGTTATTAGTCAAATAAGCACACCTCCTAGAATATCACTGAGTGATGCACAAAGGATAAAAAATGAAGTGAGAATGTTACAGCTAAAACGTGACAAGAAGCGTTGTGCAAAATCTAATGAATATTCATGCACAAGGGATTCTGTTACCAGAGTACTCAATCTGTCAATGCCCACAACTACTTCAGGCATGGTGTCTGGATTATCCACTGTATCCCCAAAAGTTCCAATAGAGAGGAAATCAATTAAAATTGTTCCATTATCAAGGAAGCAGTCAGATGTGGGAGATCAACCTGCATTGTCTTCAGATCATAAAATTTTATTGCCAAGGTCAAAGACCTCACAAAATAAAATTCCAAATAAAGCTAGAATGCCTCCAAGAATAGATTCAAATGTAATAAGGCAGTGTGGATTGCCCTTGGAACACACTCTAGTTTCACCATCTAAAATGAGTATAGGAAAGACAAATGTGAGGAAGGACAATGAATTAATTAAAGCTTCAGAGAATAATGGCTCGCATATGAAGAAGGGGAATGATAGCCCATTGCATCTGAGAGAAGAGTCTGTAGAATGTTGTTTTTCAAAGCGTAGTGGAGTTCCCTTGACTTCGGTATCAGACAAACAAGTTTCAGTCCTGTCTGAGAATATGCATAGTTCTGTAGATGGAGGAAAGGCAACAGACCATAAAGCACCGCCTTCATCAGGTACAGAATTGGAACTTGATGTGAATAAACTACATTATTATGTTTCATTACTGTTCTCTGATACTGAGAGAAAACAAAATGATGCTTGCAGCCTCTCATCAGACAAAGGAAAGAAAACAAAATTGGTTTCCAAAAATAAGAATGTGTTAGTACATAATCCAGATGTAGTGTCTGAAATTAGGCAAAGCTCTTCTGCTGGTAACTCTGTTGCTTGTAAAGAAAGCTTATCTACTACACATGCGCATGAACAAGAACAGAGCGTACACATTTCAGTATGTTCACGTGTTGAGAGTAAAGGTAAAGGAACTTGTGGATCACCAGATTTCAAGGAAAAGGAAACATCAGATCACACTGCCAGAAGCAATAATGTATCTGATGTCCATAAATCCAGAGTATCTGGATCTCTGTGTGGTGGTTCAGTTACTTCTTCAGGGAGTACAGCTACTGTACATGCACAGAGCCCTACATTTCTGTCTAATTCTTTAGGAAACAAATGTATGAAACGTGCTAAAACCATCGGTGAGCTACAGATAACTCATCCTCAGTCACAAAGTGTTAAATTATCACATGAACTCTCTCAGCATCCCAGTAAATTCTGTGTGGTGAAGCGTAACAGTTTTGAGATACTGATGAGTGCGCAGAAATCTCTACCAAAAAAATCACCAACAAAGAGACTGTGCAACAGTTCACCCATAAAATATATGAAAAAGAACCGGTCACTATGTAACCTGAGGTACAGAGCTGTATCTCCAAATAAACCTAAGGCATGTAAATCACTGAAATTTGACAACTGCAGTACTGAGGCAAAGTCAAGATGTGTTGCAGCAACAGATCCAGAAAATCAGGGCTCGGTATCTGAATTCTACTCAAATGAATACGTTGGCTATTTTGAGAGTATAGTAGCTGAAGTTTTGAAAGACAGAGACTTGTTAACACTTCTTAGTGAGGAGGAAGTTATGACGGTAACCAACTTTTGGAAGTTAGAGAACCAAGTGAAGGAACTTTATGTGAGAATGCTGAGCAGAAAATATACCTGGCACCGTGTGTCTGATATAAAATATGATCATATTAATGTGCCTGCAGCTTTCATTGAACTTGAAGTATCTGGCTTTGTAACATCAGGTATGTATAATGTCTCCATCCAAGGTCCACAGAGTTCTAATACCTGTGATTCCTTCCAGTTTTTATGTGTAATTTAAAGTGAGCCAGAATAGCTTACTTGCTGACATAACAAGCTGGACAGGTAGGATTCAATTTTCAGCAGGGAACAGATATTTTTCTTTTATCCACCAATCCAGTCTGGCTATGGGGCTCACTTGGTCCCAATCTGATGGACTGTGAATGTGACTACTCACCTGAGTATAGTGCTAAGGTATACCTTGGGTGTAATGAATGTGTGTTAATAAATGCTGTCAAATTTTTAATTTATATACTATATAGGATTTGTTTTGTCTCTACCGATTCATTTGTTTCTCAGAAACTGATTGTTGAGAGTACATTAGTATCAAATAGAGGACTTTTACTTTGTTTCTTTTGTACAAACTGATCAATAAATGTAATGTATAGCCTGTGATATGTGTTATATTTGCTGATGCTCTTTCTGTATTTAAAATAATTGCAGATTATAGTTCTGAACAGTTAGAAGTTCTTCTGAATTTGCTGAAAGTTCCAGAACTAAGATCATTATGCCGGACTTTCCGAATTTCGTCAGCTACACGACCGAAGCCAGAAATGATACAAGCTCTGTTACAATATGGGAGAACTCAACATACCATAAGTGGAATTCAAGGGAGTGACTCTGCATCTCTTATTAAAAGCAGGTATACAGTTGTGTACCCAACTGCTAAGCATCAGTTGAGAACATAAGTTACAAAATCAGTGAAGCAAAATTGTGTGTACCAAGTCTTTAATAATTCTTATGGATTTTTGTAACAGCATGTCTTGCCAACTATCATTCTATACTTTTTCTAGAATAATACCTAAAATTAGACTCAAGGTGTTTAATGATTTGTTCTCTGGATTTACTGTTTATGATATGTGTCACCTGTCTCAGTATTTGTTAACATTTCTTTGTTTATGCGCATCCCAGTAGTAAACATAACCACCAATTGTAGCTTCCTCTTTTCTCTCCTTCCCCCAACCATTTAATGGCTTTTCATTGTCTGTTATTAAATAACTTTCTTGTAGCAGAACTTGCCACTGGCCGTGATCCTGAGCCAACTCCATCCATTTGCCATCCTCACAGCCCACCTCCCTAAGATCCATCTTGATATTATCCTCCTGTCTCCTTCTTGGTCTGCCCATTGGTTGTTTTCCAGAAGGATTTCCCACCAAAATTCTGTATGCACCCATTACCAACCCCTTGCGTGATACACGTCCGGCCCAAGGGAGCCTCCTAGATTTCACTATCCTCACGATGCTAGGTGACCCTTGCAATTCATGCAGCTCCTCTTTATGTAATATTCTAAATTCCCCATTTATTTTATCCCTCCTAGGTTCATATAGCTTCCTGAGCACCTTGTTTTCAAACACTTGAATCTATGTTCTTCCTTCAAGGTAAGAGACCATGTTTCACAACCATACTAGACAACAGGCAAAATTATTGTTTTATATATCCTGTTCTTCAGTGTTTTATATAGTGAACTGAATAAAAACGATCATTCGCTGAATGTATTCTGCTCTTAATTTCATTATGGACCTTATTTCTATTTGTTATTGTTGTTCCTAGATACTTACATTTTGAAACATTTTCAAATGATGTGTTACTTATAATTATGTTCTGCCATTGTTGATCCCATATTACGCCCATGTATTTAGTTTTGTATAAATTTAGTTCTAGGCCTATTTCCTTACTAGCCTGTAGGAGAGTTTCTGCATTCTTGGTTATAATACCCACACTTATCCCCCAGCAAATTGATATCAGCAGCATAAGTAAGCACTTGGTGCAGAAAATTCAATTTGTGCCCATCCTGATTCCCTCTGGTTTTCCTGATGACATGCTCTAGAGCAAAATTAGAAAGTACTGGGGATAAAGCATCCCCCTGTTATAGGCCATTGTGCTCTGGGAAGGGATCTGACAGAAGGTTACCTATATGAACTCTACTAGATACCCAATTAACATAAATTTCTTTGGTGTTCCAAACTCAATCAAAATGCCATACATTATCTCCCTTCTGAGTCATACGCCTTCCTAAAGTCCACAAATAGTTGGTGTACTGACCCATTATGCTCCCGCTTTTTCTCTATTATTTGCAAAGGTCTGGTCAATAGTTGACCTGTTACGGTGGAATCCACATTGATCATCCCTGATAATTTCATTCATAAATGATGTTAACCGTGCCAGAAGAATATTTGATAAAATATTGTATGACGTTGACAGAAGAGAGATACCTAGGAAGTTACTGGACTCAGTTATCTCCAGTTTTGTAGATAGGGACAACGATTGATTCCTTCCTCTGCTGTGGTATTACTTCCTGCTTATATATCTCTGAGTGCAGTGTTCTACCACCTGCATGGATTAGTTCCGCTGGACCGTCTGTCATTGCAAAGCAAAAACAGTAATTGTGGTTACTGTTTGTTATTGTTGTTCATCTCTTTATTCTACCTCTGTTTATACTTACATGCCATTGTTTTTTTCAGGTTGAGGGAAGCACTAGGCCACTGTATCAAACTGTGTACAAGGGACAGGGAGGGATTCTTCCGTATTATGCTTCTGTTCTCGCTACCTCATCAGTATGATGAGGAAGATCGACAGTGCTCAAAGCAACTTCTCTTGATGAATTGTGTTAAGACAAGAACAGTAGAATTTCCTACTTACATAATTCATAAAACCATACCAATTTTTACTGCTAGAAATGATTTGATTAGGTATGCATATTATTGACTAAATGTTAAATTTTTGTAACCTTCTATAAAAGGCTTTCAGTAATGTATGATCTTGAGCTTTCACGGCAACTATGTACAATAAAATCTTCTCGGGCTATCAGCCGCATCAAGTGGTTAACCACTTGATGCGGCTGATAGCCTGAGAAGTTTTTATTGGCTTTCAGTAGTGTTTGCTATAGAAAGGCACAGTATTGCGCAGGTGACCAAAACAAATACAGACAATGATGCTGTTGAGAAGACCACTTTCTAGGTTTCATCTTCAAAATGGTTGCGAGTGTCCTTTTGCTTTGTCATATTTAAAAAATTTGTACTAAAAGTTTTCAAATGCTCAAAGTAAATACTTTCTGGCTAAAGTGAACCTTTTAGATTGTGGTACTCTGTGTAATGACACTGTGTTCGTGATTACAAGTATTTCTGATGAACTCGCTGCTGCTTATTTGTCTGTGGTTTATATGAAGATTCTAATTAACTAATACTATATCATGTCATTATGTCTGTTTTAAAGTTGGTACTTGTTTTTAGTTCTGATTAGTGAGTTTTTTTATACTGTTTACTTTACAGATTTCAGGAAGCAGGTGAGTTATTGACTGGTTTGATGAAAGCTGTTGCTGATAAAAGTTGGGATGAAGCTCTTGACTATGGGCAGCAAGCTCGAGAACATTTCAAAACAGTGATAGAGGATTCTGCACAAAAGTGAGTTTTTTCTCATTTGTGTGTGTGTGTATGTGTGTGTGTGCGCGCACGCGTGTATGTGCGTGTGTGGGGGGGCGTACATGTACGTACTCAACAGACTGCTGACAAGGGGTGGTTTACTAGATGGGGTGTTGAATATGGTTGCTAATAACATATCACTTAAAAGAGCAAGTGTAGTGTTATGAAATGTCACAGCGGGCCTGAGTTTGAGGCAGATACTTAGGATTGACCTGAGTAAAATGGAAAGGAGATGGGAGTCAGAAATTGGAACATGGAAGATTCCCTATAGGGTAGGTTTATTGAAATTGGTAGCAAGACAGTTAAGAAAGTGTAATCTAGATTTATGGGACTACAGGAGATGAGATTGGACAGGGGTGGCCAGCACACAATTTTACATTTTTCTTTGGAAGCGGAAATCAAATAGAACAGATTTTTGACTGTAATAAAAGGTTGAAGTTATTGACCAGCTGAATAACTGTCAGTTTTTGAGAAGGAACTCCATTCAATGAAGTAGTTGTTATTGTTGTGATGGTGGTGTATATCATAATGTTTGTTATCCTCAAAACACATCTTGTCTTGGAAGAAATATTTGTTTTATACATGTGTATACCATCACCATAAGCAGTCTTTTATTATAATGAAGTTGTTGCAGCTTTTATTGATCTTGTATAGTGATTATGCCAAAACTTTGCCACTCTTCATGAGAAGATACACTGCTGGATCAACATATGCCTATGCTATGACCAAGGCCATTGGCGCTTTTAAAAAGCACAAAGATCACATGCCTAACGGTGTGATCATACTACAAGAACTACTTTCTCAGCATATATACCTACCTCAGTATCGAGGCAAGTGGTATGAGCAGTTGGCTTTGCTTCTACAAGTACATCTTAAGAATTGTGAACAGGTATGTAGAATACAGAGTCCTTAATTTTAAACTGTAACAGATCAGTGTTCTTCATGGTCCATCAGCCTTTAAAAGAAGAAAAATGCTAGTTTAATGGGAACATTTTAAATGAAAAATATAGCATAGCAAATGTAAGTTTTCCAAGCACATTGGTGTAGTGATAATACTCTAGATTAGTTTTTTGAAGGGACCTAGTTTGAGTCTAATTTTGGCTACTGTACTGACTGAAGTTTTCCATGATTTTCCTTAGGCGGTGACCACCTTCCAAATCCTTCCTCACTTTTCATGATCATCTCCTCATGTAATTTGATGTTATGCAACTCTAAAGTTGATAGTGTGTTGTCAGTTTAATGGAAAGTGCCCATTTACTAAATATTTCTTATTTAAAGCTTTGTTGCTTTATAATTAATGCAAAATGTTCATCATGTTGTTGTACTGTCTGACTGAACCCTGGGGCCGTGCATGTGACTTTGAACATAAAACACTGAAACTGAAGTAGGGTGACATGTGAGCTAGAACCAGAGAAACTCGACTGCAGTAGTATGGAAGGACAGAGGAGAAGTGGACTTTCTGACTAATGGTCACTAATTATCAACATAAGGAAACTTTTGTAATGAAAAAAATGTCAGCCATTGTCCATTTCTACAACACTCACATGGGTAATGTTGAGAAAAGTGATTAGATAGCAAATAGCTAATTAGTCAAAACACTTTGAAGTGGACATTAAAACTGCTCCATGTTAGTTGTTTTGTTTGTCATTTTGTGGTGTCAAGTATTCCCATTGAGATTTCTGACGTATCTTGGTGAGAAATCTGACACTTATAAAAGGAAGACCAGACACTGTAGCTTCCAAAATATATTGTACCATAAATTAAGGCATAACCAACATTGTCCAAGAAAGGGCAACAAATTTATGTTCTTACATGTTTTTTGGCTTGCAGAGAGTGTATGTGAACAGTTTATAATTGTGTGGAGCATGAAGTGGGACTGTCTATCACTGCTTTTAAGAATACCACAAAACATAAATTGTAAGCAACTGTAACAGAACAGCAAGGGTGACAGACCCAGCAGTATTTCTTTCATATGCAGTGGCGGCCCGTCCATAGGAGCTGCAGAGCTGCAGCACCGCCTATAATTTTTAAAAAATTGAAAAATTATTTTTTTGTATTTATATAATTTGTAACACTTTATTTCCTCTATATCATTATTTTAATACTGCCTGTTATATTGTAATTATCCACTGATCGGCTGAACTGACAATAAGTCCATGGGCGAGGAGTGCAAAGCAGAATGGGGCTATCATTCGGCTGCAAGGATTTCAGCGCTGCTAGCCGGTCAAAAGTAGAAAGCGCGGTATCATCATGTGTGTCATGTTTATTGTTAATGAGTGTTCAATAATTCTGTGTGCTGACTATTTTTTGTTCTGATAATGATAATGAGCAAAGGAAGTGTATCGTAGTTACAGCAAATTACTTTTTCTAAATTGTCTTTGAGTGAAAAAGTGATGTAAAAAATCATGGCCGCCCTCTTCCAGACTTACAAATAGTTAAAACATTGTCAAGCACGTATGGGTTTTCTCCTGATGTAAATTTAATTTTCATTTATTTATATTGTTATGTGTTGAAAAACTATTCTGATTTTTCCACCTTGCGCAACACTACCACTGCTCAGACTCACTAGCCGCCACAGTTCATATGTATACAGGGTAATTCAAAAGGTTAGGGCCAAACTGAAGGAGTGTATAGAGTGACTCAGGGAGAACAACTTTCGATTAGGAATCCATGTCCTCCGAAGTTATCTTGAGTCAGTCGAGGCCATTGAAGGTGGGGTAGTCTGATAACATACTGCTGAAATAATCGTACTTTGCTAACCTCCTACTAGCTTAATTTTGTTTTTTATTAATGTACAAGGATTACATTAGCAATCTTACAAACCAAATTATTTTAGCAGTATGTTATCAGACTTCCCTACCTTCAATGGCCTCGACTGACTCAGGATAACTTCGGAGGACATGGATTCCTATTCAAAAGTTGTTCTCTGTCTATTCGCTCCTTCAGTTTGGTCCTAACCTTTTGAATCACTCTGTATATTCTGTTAAGACAGGAAGCATGTCCATCAGATCTAAATGGTATGCCTAATCTGTGAGAAGCTACTAAAGTAGGACAACAGCAAAATGATGTTTATTAATGATATATATGTGTGCAACACAACCACAGGCTTATTATGAATGATGCAACTAAGAGGCAGTGTACTGCATTAATCAAATGACATGCTCGGGTAATGGGCAGTATCATGAGGTAATAAAACAGAATATTACATGATTCAGAGTCTTTGAAATGGAGATTCTCCAGTCATACATCGTCACCTAGTGATGTTTTTGGTTGCAATTTTACATTTATTTTGCAGGCAGCCAAAGTAGTAATTAAAGCAATGAAAGATAATCACTTGAGTGAGGTTGACCAGCATATGCTTTCTTGTCGTGGTACTGTGTTGATGCTCAGCAAAGGACTTGGTAAAGACTTGAAACAGAAGCTTAATGAGAATATAAAGAAACCACTGGAGATTCCACCAAATGTAACAATAAAGGCAAAGTCAATGCAAGGGTAAGTGGAACCAAGCACATGTTATCATTACCAGAGATGAATGCTACCCTTTGTTATAAATGAAACTGTGGGGTTGTGGGAGATAGATTTTAACCAGTTTCCTAATGACCATCCCCCCCCTCTCACCAAATGTGATGCCAAAGGGTAGTATATTATTTTATTAGTTCAGTTTTGTGGCCTTTAAACATAAATAAAGTAATGTAGGTGAGCTATTTCTTAAAATTTCTTTTGACACAAGAACATTTTCTACAAATAACAGCTTTATTATTATCCCTAGTTGTCTTGGGCTCTGCTTAGATGTTGCATAATATGTGGTAGATCAGAATTTTTTTACTTTTGCTCATTATAGAACTTGTTTGTCAACATAGCTGTTTGAATCTGAGTTGCAATTTTGATGTTTGATGCAGAAGTATTACCTTGACCCATAAACAAATGTCTGCCACTAAGAAAAGAGCTATCCCACGACGTACCTTGTAGGTGCTTGGAGGGGGGGGGATAGAGGAGGTATAGCACTTACACATTCTCAGCCTCAGCATTAGATGGGGTGAGTGGTGAGTGTCATGCCTGGCCATGCTTTACCCCTGGGGATAGGACCCCTGGTACCCATTGAACAGGAGGTAATATCTGTCCCCTCCACCAGAGCTATGATGTAACTGTGTTCAGGCCATCCCACATGTGTACCTACCTGGAGCCCATGTTCAAAGCTGAACATGAGCCAGCCAGTTGGGGACTAGTGGGTGGAGTCAAATGCTTGTTTGCGTGCAAGCAGCCAACTGACACAACTGATAGCTAAGGAAGGTTGTATTAATTTTTGTATGTATCTACTTTTCAGAAATGGTCCTGGGCGAAAGCGTGTGTATGTCCAGGAGGATGTATATAAACAAGAAACCACATACTCCTCCATAGAAGAATATGCCATTTTCTACTACAAGTCTAAAGGTTATACAGAAGGTAATTAAATGCTTACCAGTCAATCTGGGCTTCTGTTGATGATGATATATAACCTCAGCAGTTTATTAAAATTTGTAAAATAACTTAAGTAACCTTGAATTGGAGTTTGAAGTTTCTAAACCCCATTCCACATTTTATTACTATAGGCTATATACAATGAAACCCCTATTTACAATTTGCTTGGACAACAGTCATTATGTATCTTAAATTGAGAATGAAACAAATTGCATGACTTGCATGAGATAACTATGTTAGAACAAATTAAATAAAGTACAAGAAAAACAAAAAACAAAACAAAAAGGGATGCGTGTGTACATAACGAGTGTATTATTTCTTGATGACTGCTTTATCGAATATGTCTGATGTAAATTACAGTAGGTTCACAAAACATACCTTTTCAACAACTGACAGTAAAGTTCTCACATGGAAGTTTACAATCAGTTCACAAGCACATTCTGTCATCTCCACGGTTGACTCACAATATAATGCCTCATAAGGCCATGTGGCTTCATCAAGTAGGTGTAGCAGGTAGGAAGTGACTTCAGTGATAGCAAGATGTGAAGAGACTTCAAGTATTCAGACTTGTTGGAGATGACAAATTGTGCGCTAAATCAGGGCAGACAGGGTATTATATAAAGGTATGGCTGGAATCACAAACAATGAATGCAAAATGCAGGAAAACCTTAGATCAGGAAACCTGTGTTTGGGATTTCACTGTAAATTATAATAATTTTAAAATAATTTGTGATTGTGCATGAGTAGTAAAAAATATGAGACATTTGTATGAGAAAACACATTTTTTAACTTCTGACATAATCTGTATATGCAGTTTCCACTAATAGCTTATTATATGTTTTTGCAATGTTAATTTCATACTGCTGTTCATGTATACTGTTGTAAAAGATATACTTTACTTTCTGATACAGTAGAGTCCTGATTATCTGACTGTCGGTTATCTGACATGCAGTAAGTAATTCATAGTGACGGATTGAATTCTATTGAGACCGCAATTGCTTACAAATGGAGGTGACTGTTACAGACATACTGTTGTTCAGGCATTGGCATGATCTAACCACAAAGTAAAGGAAGGAGGGTCATAAGGAATTACCCATTACTAATTTCTTTAAAAAACTTTCATTTACATATTTACATTATGTTAAATACCGATTTTGTTTGTGAGATTTTTTATTTGATGGCATGTTATATTTTATTCATAATTTAATAATATTATAAATTGAGTAGATATTTGACCTCAGACTTTTTTATTATTCAAAATTTTTGATTATCCATCCATCCTTCAGTCTCATTTAGGTTGGTTAATTGGTACTCTGCTGTGTGCTTAATGTCTTATTTTAACACACACACTACCAGATATTTCACAGCAGGCTGTGATTAAATGTCAGGACTTAAAAATCTTGGGTGGCTTATGCACTGTCTAGGAAGAAATTGTATTTTGCAAATTCTGGGAAAAGATATGAACATTTGACACTAATGTTATCAGACTGCAATGGTGTGGAACCTACAGGATACAAGAGAACTCCACATAGAGCACATAAATATTTATTTTGCTCCACATGTTTTCTTTGAGAAAGTGAAAGAAATGTTACACCTTTCATAGAATTTCAGGTTATGGTGTCATATATAGCAACCTTCACTGGTTGATTATCTCACTCTGTGTTTTTCATGAATTACCAGGATTGTTGAAAAATGGTTGCTCTCTCTTTAGTCAGAGAGCACATTGCAGCAGATAAAATAATATCCCCCTCTGCATTTTTGTTTAGTCTGTTGCATATGATAAAATTAAAGATTCCAACTGGTATAATGAATACTATGATTATAGGTATTATGAAAATTGAAGACACTTCTGCTTTACCTTTGATGTACCTACACTCCTTTTTGTTATCTGAATATTCTGCTGTAAAGGCTGTGCTAGTAGTCTTTTGGCTTCCAAGACTTTTCTTTTATGGAACCCATAAAAACACAAGTGTAAGGCCAAAAGATTAACTGTAAAGTCAATACATCGCCAACACACAGCTGCACAACTGTCTGATGATGTTGTGTAGAGCAATTACAGTGCTAGAGGACGTAAATCTGAGGGAGGCAGAGAGAATGAAAAATATCCACTAGGCATTTTGTAATGTAAAGTTATATAAATGAACCTTCATTCCTCATACCATCTTTCTCTATACAGGGTGATTCTAAAAGGACTTTACAACTTCGAAAGTGTATAGAAATTTAATCAGAAAGCTTACAGAATCAGTTGAGGTGTCATTTTGTAGCAAAACAAATCAAGTTTGACTCACGTTGTGCTGTAATACCGAATTCCGTCACCGCGAGCGCAAGCGGCAGTGCATTTTAAAATGACTACTTTCACAGATATGGAGCGCACTCGCTGTGTGCTGTGGTTTGAAGAAACGAAATCTGCGACAATAGTTCAACGGAATTTTCGCACTCAGTATGGCAAGGATCCTCCCAGTAGACCTACAATTTACTCTTGGCACAAGAATTTTGTTTGGACCTCGTTCTCCAGATTTGACTCCTCTCGATTTTTTCTTATGGGGTTTCATTAAAGATCGTGTGTATGTTCCACCCTTACCTGCCAATCTCACTGAGCTCAAAGTTCGAATCCCTGCCGCAGTTGCATAAGTGACACTGGATATGCTGGATCGTGTTTGGCAAGAAATTGATTTCAGGTGGGACGTCAGCCGTATCACCAATGGCAATCACATAGAACCAAAGTGACTATTTTAGGTAAAACTTGATTTGTTTTGCTACAAAATGATACCTCAACTGATTCTGTAAGCCTTCTGAATAAATTTCTATACACTTTCAAAGTTGTAAAGTCCTTTTAGAATTACCCTGTATTATTTAGGTTGTAATGGGTGGTGTGCTAAAGTGTGGGTTTTTGACACTGAAATGCTTGACTGTTAAATGGGAAACCCCAAGTTGAATGTTTAAGTTTGTTTCCTTTATAAATTTCTTTTTCTGTGTTTCATTTCAGGTATACATGATGAAGGGAGTGTCATAAACAGTCTTTTTGGTTTGATATTTTGGGATGTTATTTATGAACACCCAGTTCCAGACGTATTTCGAACTTCTTACCAGCAAGTACCTCTGGACTTATATTCAGAAGAATTTTATAGAAACAGGAAAGAAGCTGTAGACGAGAAGCTTGAAAGTTTGTGTCATTGTGATATGAAATTTGTGAGCGAGTACGTGGAGAGAATGTTGAAAGAACATGAAGGAAAAGAGTCTATTGTCAACTGGCAAAGATTTCAGAATCTGGAACAGATTGTTGTAAGTTAAATAAGTTCTAATACCTTGTAGTATTTATTATATTGTATTGATCATCATGATAGTTGTTTGGGTTAGTTGAAACATAAGTTTCAGGTAAGAAATTCTGTATGAAAATTACTGTTATCTGGAATGTTATGCTATGCAGTAGATATTGACCATTGTTTAAGAGGAGCTTAATGCCAGTCAGTATTTACCAGACTGTCCAGTGTAGCATCCCATAAAACAGCCATCTTTATACTTATAGCCATGAGAATATGAAATATCCTCTAAATGCTATGTAGTTGACATAAGTAGTCATTACGGCTCTTAATAATGCTTTCATCTACAGAAAGTTCCTGAACCTGTTGGATTTCCAAAGGTCAATATTTTAATGCTGCTTGGGATATGGAACAATCACTTTCTTTACTATTTCGGTGGAAAGTGTTATTTAGAACCACAGAACACCAATTTTGTCTTTGAATTTTTGGGTTAGATCTATCAAGAAAGGTTGATCTAATCCAAAAAGCCTAATGTACTGCACCATTCTGAGTTCAAATGTGTTTACACACCTTTAACAACAACTGTAGTTCATGAAGAATATTCATTTTGGTGTTAAAATTTTGTGTATTATTTGCAGCAATATGTTAGCAGATATATATATTGCTTTTCAGTTGTTTATTTTGGTTCATTGCCAGTTTCATCGTCTTTATTTTTCATAACTAGAGCAACGCGCTCCTTCCGGAGCGCTGTCTCTATCTGATATTCTACTTCTTTACGTCGCTGTTCAGAGGCCAACTGTCAGTCAACTTTCTACGTCCAACTCCACCCTTGTCAATCTTCGATATATTATTCGATAAAGACGTATTGTCTGTTAAAATACTATGAGTAATAACGGAAGGGGATTGTTGAAGGCAATATACCAACACAACAATACAGAGTAAACAAATGACGTAACATTTTTTATTCTATGTTCTTTTCAAATAATAAGAGTGTGACACTTTTACATTTATCGATAAATTTTCTAGATTTTGTAATGTGATTATCGTCGAAGATAAGCCATTCATCGTTATAACGTCACCATGCCTTAAAATGCCCGTCGTTTCCAGTACTGTTAATGTCTACAAATTCGACCGCACTTTGCAATTTCCAATATTTTTCCTACATTAATTGGTTGTTTTGTCTCATTCTCATTATTTAAAATGTGCATACTCCATTTAGAGTTAATCTATTTATTTCCAAAATCATGTACTTTTGATGGTCTGTATGCGTTTGCAATCTCGGAGATCAATTGTGCATAATTGTTGTTGCCGTTGTATTCATTGAATATAATTTCTTTAAGACTTTCGACAAACGTAGTAGATGAATGCAATATGTTTAGTGAGGAAATCAAAAAGCAGTCTGATCCATTGACGTTCTCCAGTTTCAAATGTTTGATAGTTGGTACAATTTCACGTGTAATAGTCGTTTCATTCTGCTTCACTCTCCATATAGGTTGTTCATTCTCTTCCTGAGTTTTTTTCCCCCCTTCAACTTTTAAACGTTTAACAACATGTTCAACTGTTTCACTTTTAATTCAAGTTTTTGCTTTCGTTCTTTTCTTTTATTGTCTTCTGTTCTCCCGTCTGTCATACTCTGTTCATTCCATATTTATCTATAGACAACGTTTTTAATGAGATTATTTTCTCGTCCCTTTTTTAGATAAACAAATATACAATTGTTGCTTGGTGCACATGAAAATGCGACATAGATTTGTCCATGTGCGAAAGCATCCTGTTCCAAATAAATGCCAATTCGTTTGAACGTTTGGCCTTGAGCTTTGTTGATAGTGATTACGAAGGCAAGCGTTACGGGGAATTAGCGTCTCCACATGGTAAATAGATATTTGCTGTCACGGTATAGTTTTATACATGGAATGAAAACAATTTCCCTGGAATGATCTCCCGTTATGACCATACATTGAAGGAGGTTGTTGGTCATCTGCTCTACTAATAAACGTGTTCCGTTAACTAATCCTTCACAAATGCTTAAGTTACGTATCAACATGACAATAGCGTTCTTACGTAGTCGCAAAGTATTGAGGGGGGGGGGCAATGATCGTGGTCACAAAGTGTTCAAGTATTCGGGTGTCACCATTTCACTGAACTTTTCTTTGTCCGAGTCTTCGACACCATCAGTGCTCGAGTAGATTCGCTCAAGCTTTTCGTCTAGTAAGTCAACAACTCTCTCATTTATTTCGTCGACGTCACAATTTCTTGCAGCAAGGATTGCGGTAGTTTTGAGCATTTCAATGTCATTGTTTCTTATGATATCTCCGCAAATCTTTTCGACTAAATCGTCCGTACAAACCATGTTTTCAGGCACTTCTATCATGTCCTCATGATCGTTGAGGCGTCCTTCGCCGAGGTCAAGTAAGAATTTAGTCCATTTTATAGCTTGAGGTGTGGCACGCATGTTTGCAGACAGTGATGTGACCTTAAAATGTTTCCATAAAGGCGAATATTTTATTGTTGAATACAGTGTTGACGTTTTGTTTTAATTACGTAAGACAGGTAAAATCTGTCTAAAGTCTCCACTGAGCAACATAACTTTACCTCCGAAGGGTAAGTTACAACGTGTGAAGTCTCACAAAGTTCTATCAAGTATATCCATACAATACCGTTGTGCCATTGGTGCTTCGTCCCAAATAAATACGTCTGTGTCTATCAATTCTTTTCCTCTGTTATCCGTTATCGAAATGTTCGTGTTAGAGTGAGGCAAAACAGGAACGGGTAGCCCGGCTACTGTGTGGACAGTGTTTCCTTTAGGCAACAAACTTGCTGCGATACCTGTATAAGCCATCGTAGTGACTTTCTTTTGTCGTCCTACTAACAAATGGTACAATGTTTTATATGTGTAAGTTTTACCGCATCCTCCTGGACCATCAATGTAGAAGTATGGGTTTTTGACAGTTTTTTTTCCTTCTATATGATTAAGTATTATGTCAACGATTTCCTTTTGTTTCTTGTTCAATGATTTGTACATTTCTGGTGACAATGGATTAGAATCTGAACAAACAAAACACTTAGCTGATAAGGCATTTGGTAGATCGCACCTTCTTGCATGCAACGTTTCCATTCAGCGTCATCTTTGATCAGTCCACGTGCTAAACAGGCTTCTGTGAATGTTTGATAAGTGACAGTGTCGTAAGTCTTTAAGTCCTCATAGTTTTCTGCGCCTTTCACATTCATCAAAAGAACATGTAGATGGAATGTTTCTTGATCTCTAGGGCTTACACCATAAACGCGTCCGATTGTGTGTTTGTGTGATTGCATTCTCATTATCTTTTGGAAAAGATGCCGCATTCATGTGGTAATAAATTTGGCCATGCGATTTAAAACAATAAGTCCCTGATCGACTAATTCCGAAGTCCATGAGCTTTGCTTGAAATGATGCGAATGCCATCATGTTGTTGTAAACATGACATTTGTTGCGAAAATGTCATAGAGAAAGCAGTTTTCTAAGTTCATCAGGGTATTCAGGCAACGAATCAAGCACAACCTTTCCATGTGCACAACAATCATAAAACGATTTACTGGAACATTGAGTCGGTTCATCAAGCCAGTGAAGCGCTTTACAATGAATACATTCATAGTTCATAGGTCCAAGATGATGTTGTTGATGTTCGTCGTTGTTAAAATGTGTCGCTATTAACAGTCTTCCTTGGTTCTTCATTACTAATTTACTTTGATATTTAATACTTTTTTCAGCGTCTCGTTTTTCTTCCTCCTCTGTTCTTGCCGAATAAGTTTATATATGTACTTCAAAAATTCAGTGGCAATTATTTACTCAGGTCTCTCCTGATTCACTGACAGTCAAATCAGGATTGAGTAGAAATTGTGCTGGTCACTCACTACTCACAAATGCATACTACAAAGACTAGGAAACCTCCAAATATAGAAGCAGCAAAGACCCACAGCTGGGTTGTAAAGCCAAGGACCAACAACATGCTACATATGATACAATTTAAATTTTTTACCAAGGTTTTTGTATAGTCGTAGACAGAGGATGTTACCATTCTAATATGTTTGCTCTTTATTTCAGAAGTTGATTAATTGTATAGGTATGCAAGTATTGTCCAAAATCCTAGAAAGACTAGTAAAAAGCTACAGAGTACGTAGTGGTTTCCCAGATCTCCTTGTGTGGAATCCAATCACTTCTAAGGTGAGATAATTTAATTTTTTTTTTCTTAATTACGTAACACGTTCTATTCATTAGCAAAATATTTTGTGTTTTATAACTCATGAGCCACTTTAGTCAGATACAGTAGGGCACCGCTTATACGGCGGGGTAGGGGCCAGACCCC